ACCTAAATTCTGCATGTAGTCCTCCTAAAAGTTTGCCTGCAAAAATATTGTAATTACTGAATGTTTAAGCAGCTTGGGCCCATCCATAGGTTTTCCTGGTGTTTTGTATTAATTAGGATAGGAGGAAGAGGATCAAGGAAGTGAGAGGCAGTCAAAGTGTTTTGGGGTTTTAATGTGTGGTTGCTACTATTGTGTATGTGCTTTTTATTTCCTTTCATTTTTTATTTGTAATGAACCTCAAAGCTGCTCCCTTTATATAGAGTCAGGTTGCTGTGCAGCAAGTGTAAAAATGTTAAAGTGATGTAGCACATATTTACCTTGATCACCTGCTGGTTTTAAGTAAGTTTATCAACACTAAGACATCTGATTTAAACCATTAGGAAAATACGTGGAATGTTTTTTTTGGGGGGGGGGGTTCCCTCCCCACATGGAAAGTGATCTCAGCTCTGAAAGGTTTGCGTTTTAAAGGTGAACATAACCTGAATATTTTAGCATTGAGTGAAAGATTAGGTAGATTTCACTGTGTTAACTGAGTTGACAGCTCCAGCTTATAAAATAAATACCTTTGGATTAGGTACTAGATGGGTTTTGATTTACAATTACTGGGGGGGGGGGATCGGGAAATATTTTTTACAATACTGTGTGTTTGTTTTACTTGGCTTGAAATGTCAGAAGGTTTGTTTAAAAAACAAAAAAACAAAAAAACGATCTTTCACTTGTACAGTACAGCAAGTTTGTAAATGCATCTATGTCTATTAAGGCGCTATAAATGTACCCCCATCCAACCGGTTTTTAATACATTCCTATAAAACTATGGTTCCCCTTAGAACACATTTTCCTCTGATCAACATTCTTGGCTTAGATCCAAGTGTTCCTCTTCTTTGTTATGTAAATAAATCTTTAATACAAGCCAGTTTGAGTGTGATTTGTTTGTTGGCCACATACACCTCTTTTAATCAAGGAAATATTTTGATCTTGAAGCTAGTGGTGAGATTTCTTTAGGAGGAAAACTAAAAAGACATACTTGGAAAAAACATTTGTAGTCACTTTGGTCAGACTTGTTACTATGAGCAGGGCTGGACTGAGACAAAAAATTGTCCCTGGCATTTATGGTTCTCATCTCTTCCTCACTTCTCTACAGCTAGTGCTTGCAGCAGCAGCCTCCTGTGGTAATGAGACCTCGCTACTAGTTGCTGTTGGTACTACCGTTCACAGTGTTCCGAGACCTAATCAAAAATTAATGAAACGAAATAAAAATATTAGAAGCTAAAATGGAAAAAGCAATGCATCTCCTAAAGCTAACCTCAGCTGAAAACAACTGAAAACTAAAACTCTAAACTGATAGCAAAAGTATTCCTATATCAAATATTAACGTGGAATCTATTGTTCTTTTCTTCTGACAATTTATTAGACACATTGTTAACACTGTGATAAACATTCACCTGCCTTCAGAAGTGCGTCAGTTATTCATGGCGTGTATCCTAGAAACAATCCTCCATCCTGAAACCGGTTTGAGTTTCCCGGGCCTGACGTCACTGCCAACGCTCACTCATTGGCCCAGTTTAGGAAGACCAAGCGTTCCCAGGACAACAAAACGCTAAACAACTGACCGAGGTAACCTGCGGCAGCTACTGACCCGCTCAGAAACACCGAGGATTAACATTCGCTTCAGTACATTCGAAGTTTTCTGCGTTAAAGAAAGTTAAAGGCTTGAGTTGAGAAAGCGGGAATCCAGGAGAAGAACCTCAAACATGGTAAATCCTAGAAGCGAATTTAACGTTAGCTTGGCTGCTAGTTCACGACCTCAAAGTTAACATAACGCCGGTTTCTGGTCACGTGTTTTCTCCTCCCGTGTTATTGTTGTGGACACAGAGTGGTAACAGGATGTACAGCCACCAGCAGAGGTTAATGGCTCAGCGGCGGGTCCAGGAGCAGCACCGGCAGCAGGAGGCCCAGCGGGTGGACAGAGAGCGGCAGGTCCAGGCCAGCCTGAGGGAGGAGGAGGGCTTCGAGAGGAGGAGGTATCTGCGACAGGTGCAGCAGGAGCTCAAGGAGAAGCAGATAGAGAGCGCACTGCTCAAGGTTTGTGTGTCTGTTTCGGGGGTGACAATTGACATTTAAGCACGCTCTATTCGGATTTATTTTTCTGAATATATTGGTTTTCACTTTTACAGGTGAGAGATGGATCCATTCTGAAATCTGGTGAAATTTTTAATCAGAAAAATCCTTTCAGCATAATAGCAAATACTTCAAATGAAAAACTAAATAAAATTCTTCTGGAATTAATTAAAATGTATGTAAAGTATCCAAATGAAACTAAATCAAGCAGTAGTTGTTTTTCCTTGCAGCATAAATAAAGTAATGGAATACATCTAGTATAAAGGCATAGAATAAGAGATTTTGAGACCATCTCCATTTACATATATAATCTTCTTCTTTCACTGTTCCCATCACCACAGTGGATCAACTCCTATCTCACCATAGCACCAACCCCCCCTCCTTAATTATAGCCATGAATTCCCCCTAAGATCTTCCTCTTTTCCTCCTTCTTAGCAGCTCCATCTTCAACATCCTTTGTCCAGTATATCCAATGTCCCTCCGCTGCACCTGTCCAGACCATCTCAGCCTCACCTATTGGAATTTGTCTCCAATTTCAGATCTAATATATTTTCCATTTCTGATTTTACATCAGACCAGTATCTTTGCAGCTAAACTCTTTACAGTCCAAAATAAGACATGCTTTTTAAAGTATTGACCAAGTCTTGATCGGATTAAGATGTGTGGAGTTTACTGTCCATGGATCCAAAATGTTAATTCAACTAAAAATGTTAATTTTAATGCCTTGTGACTTGATACTTCACCATACTGGAAGATTCAAAGGTTGTTCCCAGATTTCTGCTTGATTACTAGAAGAACTTGTTCTTTGAGTTTGTTTTTAGTATAGTTAATCCTTAAAAAGCCAATACTGACAGTGCTGACAGGAACAGTGCCTATTGGGCACAGACTCAAGCCCCTAGAGCATCAGGGGGCACTTTGTCTTATCCTTGAGTTTAAATTATATGATATTTACCCCTAGAAAGAAATACAGAACAAAAGATCACAGAGAGACAGCAGCACATGTTTGTGGCCAGGAGTTCTTTTGTTTCATAATCAATAACTGACTACAGATTTTAGATCCAAACTTTGAAAAAATATCCCTCTGACACTTTTCTCTTATCTGAGCTTTAAATGTGATAAATAAATGTGATTCGCAGGCAGAGGAGGATCGAGTTAACCGGGAAAAGCAGCTTGAACAGGAAGAGAGAATGGCCAGGGAGCTGGCCCGCATCAACCACGATAAGCAGAAAGAGGAGAAAATGAGGCAGTATATCAAAGAGAACAGGTACACACACACACTGACCTCGTTACCCTGACTTACTGGAGGCTCTGGGTCAGTAAACAAACACATTTGACATTTGTCACTTTCTGCCTGTTAAATATTTTCTCTGTGTATTTTTCAGCACGGAGCTTCGAGAGCTGGAGTTGAAGCTGAAATCTGCGTACCTGAACAAGGACAGAGCCGCACAGATTGCTGAGCAGGAGGCCATGAGGTTTGAGACAATGGTGAGTCCTGAGGGCAGACTTTCTTTGAATATAACAAATACTCTTGAAGTGTGGAAATTTTAACAGAAAACACCCAAAACTCTCCCCACCCAAAACTACTACTTTTGGGTAAGTACAAAGAATACAAAGGCTGCTCTGAAGTCTGTAGGTTGTATAAATATGATGTGTCTTTTAGCGGGAAGAGGCAGACTACGCTCGCAAGATGAGGAGCGACCGGGAGCGGGTAGCCGTTGAGCAGCAGAAGCTGCAGCAGAAGCGCCAGGAGGAGATGGTGCAGTATCAGAAAGAGCTGGAGCAGCAGCTCATGGAGAGGGAGCGCAGGAGACAGGAAGCGTATGAGGAATTCCTCAAAGAGAAGCTCATGGTGGACGAGATCGTCAGGAAGATTTACGAGGAGGATCAGACGTGAGTCGCTACTAATTCATAATCTCTTCATGGTTAGTTAAAAAAATACCTGCAAAAAACAATAGCAAGTGTCTCAGACAACAGCTTCCTTCTAAACGGGATGCAGAGGTAGCACAGGATGAGTGACTTTTTGAAATGTTTTCCTGAAAGGGAGCGGCAGCTGAAACTGGAGAAAGTCCGAGCCACTCAGCAGCATATCGAAGAGTTCAAGAGACAGCAGGCCGAGTGGAGGCGCATGGAGCGAGAAAGGATGGAGGCCGAGAACCGGCGCATCATGGAGTTTGCCATGCAGCAACAGCACATGGAGAAGGACAGGATAGCCAAGCTCAAAGAGAGAGAAGAGGCGAAGGAGCATCTTCATAAATTGGTGAAGACTCTCGGCTTCTTAACTCTTTGGTGACGACGCCGGAGTGCATCTGTAACTAACGTCTCTGTCCTCTGCAGCTCTGCGTGAAGATTGAGGAGGAGCGGCAACAGCGTGAAGAGATGGAGCGCGTTCGTCAGGAGCTTTATTTGGAAGAGCAAGAAGAGGCTAACAGGCAGAGAGAAATCGTAAGGAGCTTTACTCTGCCCAGCTTCCTTCCACAGGAAAAAGAGTGTTATGTTGCGATTCTGAATTGACTGTATGGTGTGAATGCTTGTCTGATTCTCTGTGTGACAGACTGGTGACACTCGCTCTTACTCTTTTGTGTAACAGGAGGAGATGGAGAAGAAAATCAGACAGAGGCTGATGATGCAACAGACCTTCCAGGAGCAGCTGGCTTTCAAAGAGATGCGGAGGCAGGCTGAGAAAGAGGAAGAGGAGGCCTTCAGGAAGATGATGATGGCCAAGTTCGCAGAGGACGACCGTATAGAGCAGATGAACGCCCAGAAACGACGCATGAAGCAGCTTGAACACAAACGTGAGGTGGAGAAACTAATAGAGGACAGAAGACGACAGCAGGAGGCCGACATGGTACAAATTACTCTCTTTGATCATTTTTTTTTTATTTTAATGTATACTTTTAATGATGTGCTTTGTGATATTTTGATTGCTCTTCCAGGAGCTGGAGGCTAAAGAGAGAGCGATTGAGGAGCAGAAAGAGGCGTTGCGGAGACAGATCGTTGAAGAAGAGAGGCAGAGGCTTCTGAAGCGTCATGCGACACAACTCCTTGGATACTTGCCTAAGGTGTGAGGCGGTACACAAGTCACAAATAATTTTATGCAGCTTCAGATCAAACACATGTATGACCGCTTGTGTTTTGTTTCCAGGGCTTGCTGCGGGAGGATGACCTGGAACACTTAGACGAAGACTTCAGAAAACACTTTAAAACACGTCAGGCTGATGCGTTCTCTGATGATGGCTGGGAGGCCAACGATTAGATGCTTCTCCTCCAATCTGCCACTAGAGGGCAGTGTAGAGTTACAGAAGTATAGATACAAGGGACCGATTCAGGGACATATTTTTATTAAGAGGTGCTGACAGGCACTGAGTTAACATCATTCCAAACAGACGTGGCAACTCAGTCTGCCAATGTTTAACTGAAGAGACAAACCAAATCTACTTATCATTTTTTCTGACAATGTTCTGAGAGACAACGGAGGCCTACAACACAAAGAAGTATCCTAAAATAACAGTGACCACTGTTAAGCTTTTTAGCTTTTAAAAAATAGAAGTGGAGACATTCAGTGGTTATTACTTCCCCCAGTCTAGAGCCTTCATGAATTCTTCTTCTGTGAAGCTCAGCAGCTTAGCAGCTTCAAAATGCATCTGCACACACACAAAAAAAAAACCCCTTAAGATTAAAAACTAAGCACAGTATCCACTAACAGAGTAACATGATGACTCGTACCTTTTGCCTTTTGAGAATGTCGATTAGCTTCAGTTGTTTCTTGAAGGCCATGATGAGTTCGGCTTTCTGCTTTTTTAGCATTTTGTTTTCAGCCAGCAAATTTTCTTTACTCTGATGTTCCTCAGTTATTTTGTCCTTATTTATAAAAGAAGGCAAAAAGCAGAAATTAGTGCAGGCTCAGCAGGACCTCACCTTGTTTGTGCAATCGGAAGTTGTCAGAGCAGATATTTTAGTGTGCGGCTTAAAATTCAGTTCTATGTACATGTGAAAGATCTTCAAAATAAGATGTTGGTGTGAGGGACATAATAGCATTACCTTAACTCATATTTTTTCTCTGTATCTTTAACTACACCTATGAATTCATGTCTATAAAAGTTTTTCTGCTATGCCTCTTTAATTAGAATAGCTGATATACAAATAAATATAAGACACTTTGTGGCTGTTGTGTCTCTATAACAAGATTTAATGATTACATATTGGAATTTTGTTTTTGTTATTGGTTTTAAACCTCTGTATTTTAAACGAATGTTTTATTTTGATGGTAGTGTTTATACCTGCAATGGAAGTCTGCTTTTTAATAGGACTGGACTGGAAAAAAAAATCTGTCCTGGCATTTTTGATCCAGGCGGCCCAACATGACCACTCGAAAAAACAAAAATCATTATATATCCTGCATACACATTATATATATATATTCCATTTTACTTGATTATAGATATTGAAGCAGATAATATAAGACTATAAAACAATAATTAGACCCAAAACTAAAATCATAAACACTGATCTCAATCACTGTCAGAGCGACGTTAGGGGCTTCTCTCTTTTCCCATTTGTCTCTTACCCTGAACAAACAGCCCTTTTTATACCTACTGCTTCATTGAAATGGTCATCCAGATAGAAATGTACAGACACGCAAGTCATATAAGACCAACTCAGTATAGTTGGTGACTTGCAGAGTACACATCACAAGTTTGCAGCATGCAAATGGCATGCAAAATTAAGAAGAGTTATAAAAAGCAAAGCTCTGGATAATTTCTTTGAGGACATAAAACAGCACAGCAATATGGATGACCCTCTTTCTGAGGAGGAGGATAATATAGATTATCAACCAGAGGACAAAGACAGATCTGATGAGGTCACAGGTGCGAACCTGCTCGTGTTTTGATTTGTTCATGCCATTGTCACTAAAAAAAAGTCATCATGGCTATCACAGCCCTTGAAGGAAAAAAAGTCCACAGTGACATTTGGAATGACACTGATGAGGAATACCTGAATGCTTATAATGGTGCCCTTCTTGCTGCAGTGTACAGATGAAGCAGCGAGACCAAGCATCGACAGGCAGAACTATTTTTCAGGCAACAATGTTGCTTCAGACCTTTATAGTCCTTAGATTTTACAGCAGACATACTAGAGCAACATCTGATATACTTGCTCCCATCAAGGATGTATAGGAGAGATGGGTGCAGCTCCTTCCACTGAGGTTCAACCCAGGGCCACAGGTGACCGCTAAAGAATATTTTGTTCCTTTCCATATAAAAGTGTTACTATAGGCAATAACACTTCTCAGTAATAGTAGGTAATATAACCTTTTTTTTTCTAAATTCTCTTGAGGTTTGATTTACAATTTTTTTTAGATAGAAACAAAAGGTATGCTGAGGAGAGAAAGGACCTGAAAGGCCATGCCAAAAAAATTAAAACCAATATTGTCAGACATAAGGCAGCCTAACAAGGTAACTGATAGGCAACAAACACACTGGATGATTAAACACCGTTCTGAGGCTATTTTCTTTGGCTGATTTAAGACACGGGTCAAAACTGACCTGTTAACTTTAGAGATAGTTACAGAAGCTATCACAAGATGAAGGTTAAAGTAGCGTTATTCAGTACAGACACTGGAAAATCACCACTGTCACTCCATAGACCTGTACACAAAGCAAATTGGTAAGAGAGTTGTTTTATATTGAATTGAATTCATACAAATCCTCCCTTTATTATGCAGACTCAGAGCAGAGCCCTCAGATAAGATGAAGCGGTAAAAAATGTCAGCAGCCTCCACCTGTAAAACTATTACTGTCTTGGGCTGTTGTCTCATTGTTCCCTTTCTAGTGCATCTGCTGTTCATTTTATTAACACCAAAGCAGCTGAAACTGATTAACAACCCCCTCTGCTACTTAACTGACCATATCAATATCCCACAAGTTTAACTGACTTGATGCTGTACTCTGATTAAAAAGTATTCCTTTAATTTCTTTGACTTGTGTGTATTTCTGATATAAAGACAAACATAGAAAACACAGACATGTTTATACAGGAATCTTTGTTTTAATGCTGTTACCTTTTTCTCCTGTTTCATTTTGTTCAATTGAGTCTTCAGCCTCTCCACCTCCTCTAGAGCTCGGTTCAGGCGGACCTCTACCGTGCTGTGGACAGCTGCTGCTTGTTTGTGGGATCTATTCAGATTTTCTACCTCCTACACAGAGCACAAAAACAGGTGACACACAACAGCAGCTCAGATGTATTATGCTGTCCAGTTTTACTGCTTGTTTTAAAGAAATTGTTGCAGTAGTAATTTGCTCTGAGCTGTTGGCGACACACACCTTGCTCAAACCAGACACTTCCAGTTGAAGTCCATCACATTTTTTGTTGGACTCTGCAGCTAAAGCTCGGTGCTTCTCGATTTGTGTCTGCTGAATGCTCACAGTCTTCTGCAGCCGGGCTCGATCCTCCTCCAGCTCCTTAATCTTTGCGCTAAGCTTTGTGTTTTCATCATCCTGCAGAGACATAAGTTCAGACACTTCAGTCTGGCCAGTAGAAAAAACAATCCAGATACAATAATACATCCATGCTGTGTTAAACAATCTAAGGATCAGGACAAATAACCCTATATATTTTACCAAAGTAACTTTTGTTTCTCTAATGTAAGGCATCAGCAGCAACATTTCTGTTTATAGTTGTATATATAAATATTTACATTACCTTCTTGTAATATTCACATGAGATCTGGTCCAGTTCCTCTTGCATAATCCGGAGTTTTGCCTTCAGGACTCGTATTTGAGCTTCTGAAACTCCTTAAGAGACAACAATCAGATTTATATGCTTGTAAAAAAAATCTATATAAGCATATGAAACTTATCACATGAATTAATTAATCTCAAAGCTCCAGTTTGGCCTTCATTTGGGATTCTCAAGGGGCAAAAATCATCTGACAGAAAAAAGCCTATTCGTGGAAAACTATACATGTTATTTAGTCGTTGTTCCCAATGAATAAAAATGTGGTTTATTATTTTTTAAGTGAAATAAGCATTACCTGATCCTACATTGTCTCCAAAGTTAGGTATTTCATCCACAGCATTTTCATGAACTACAGCATTGTTCATTTTCTCCTCCATGCTGTGAATTGTCTTTGCCAAGAATAAATTAGCAGAATCTTCTACAGCTTCAAAATCATCCTCTGAGCTCCTGAAACAATCAAGCACAATTTCTTGAAAACCTGTAAACTGTGATTCCTCCTGGAGAATAAATCTCGCAAAAGATTTATGAGCAGAAAGGCTTGAAATGGATTTAGAAATTATATACAAATAAAACTCACCCAGTTTTAAAGTGGGGATCTTTCACTTGTTTTCCACTCAGCATATTTTGTGATCTTGATGCAACAATTCTTTTGGTCGCCTCCTAAAAAAGAATTACACAAAAATACTGAAGTGACCTTAAAGAACTTACAGCACCTTGTTACCCCAACAGGACACTTCTAAGGTGACCCTGAGAGGTCAAAAACACTGCAACTTAAGAAAACACCAGCAAATAGAAAAATGTGCCACAAAAGCTAAAAAAGCAAATTCACAAAAGAAGTGTATCTGAAGAGACGATAAAGTAATGGAACAGCTGCAGAAGTGCTGGAAACCAAAACATCTGGAGGATTGCACTGAGACATACTTCAAAGAAATGGAGGATTATGTTTTGTGTCGTGGGGTTTCAACAAGATTCATATAATGCTGTTCATCAATGTTTGCTTTTAGCTTTTTACTATTATCTTATCACTTCTGCTGCTGTTCTTTACTTGTTCATCCATGATGTTACTGTGTGTTTGACCTCTCAGGGCCGCCGTACACTTCACTCACAGATTGCTTACTTGTTGTTTCCAAGGTATAAAAAAAATAGAAAAGAAAGAAAAAAAAAGTGGAATGGGAGGCAGCGCTTTTAGTTATCATGCCCCTCTCTTGTGGAACCAGCTCCCAGTTTGAGTCCAGCTGACAGTCTCTCTACTTTTGAGATTGGCCTTAAAACCTTACTTTTGAATAAAGCTAATTGGGCTGGCTCACATGAACCTGAAGCCTCCCTATGCTAAGCTGTTAAGAGCTTTGGTTGAGGGGCGTTTTCTAAGATGCCCAAGCAGTTTTCTTCACTCCCCACTGGCTGCTCCTCCGTGAGGTCTATTCCTGTTAAAAGGGAGTTTTTCCTTACCACAGTAGACAAGTGCTGCTCATATGAGATCATCTGATTGATGGGGTTTCTCTTTAATAGTACTGGGCCTTTTTTCTTCTTTAAATACCAATATAAAAA